TTTCTTCGCATAAGGATAACCAATAAAAGCACATTTTCTACTACGACTAGCAAACTTATCACCATGACGCGTCTGATTATGAGCATATGCAAGACATCCAAAGATCCGTATATCACTATATGTAGGAGCTTTACCAAACAAAATCTCATAAGGACTTCTTCCCTTGTGTATCTCACAAGGCGTTCTATTGATTAAATGTGATGCGCCCAACACACAATGACCCCAGAACTCTATAGGTAAACTCGCCTGAAACCTTAAAGCTCGTGCCACATTCAATATGTGCCTATGTTTCCTCTCAACTCTTCCATTTTGCTGGGGTGTACCCACACACGATGTCTGATGGATCAATTCTAATCTGTAAAAATAGTTTCTCATCTTCAAGAACTCACTACCATTGTCACTCCGTACTATCTTCACTTGCTTATTAAATTGTCTCTGAACTAAAGCAAAAAAAAATCCATCATTATTCTTTCAACTTGACTCTTGTCCACAAGCAGAAATACCCAAACAGCTCTAGAATAATCATCCACAATCGTAAGAAAGTAAGAAAAACCATTCATGCTAGGCGTCCGATACGGTCCCCATAATTCACAATGTATCATCTCAAAGCACTCTTTGCTTTTGTTTGAACTCAGCGGGAACTTACTTCGACATTGCTTCGCTTTGAAGCATATGTCACACCCAGATACTCCATTACTTTGACTATCAACACCAGGTAACTTCCTAATTATCTTTTCAGAGGCATGTCCCATTCTTTTATGCCAAACTTCTAATGATTCAACTTTAGTTTCTCTCCTAACACTTCGAATATGTTTAATACCTTGAAGAAAATACAGTCCTTCTCTTCTTTCGCCCGTTCCAATCACCATCTTCACACCAACATCATACAGAATACATCCTGTCTTTGAAAACAATACAATGCAACTCAGCTCATCAATCAATAGTGACACCAAGATGAGACTACACTTCAAATCTTCCACAAAAAGAACTTGTGTCAACCTCAACTTCTCTGTCAAAACAATACTTCCTTCTCGATCAGCAACTACAATCTTCCCATTAGGTAATCCAACCAAGCACGGTGAGACTCTGTAGACATCAACAAGAGAGCTCAACGTACCTGTCATATGATGAAGCTCCACTATCTATTATCAACTCATCCATGAACCTTTCTTTACTGGACAAATTAGCTGATTCTGATTTTACACAAGAGTTACCCAAAATTTGTTCCCACTTCTCTTTCTTCAATCCAGTTTTGGCATGAGAATTAATCTGCATCCTAACCGTGTGTGACATAACAGGTGTATGTGCCACTGAACTCTTTTGTCTCAATGAAGTGCTTTCCGCAACTTCTTCTTCAACACTTCTAAGATTACTTTCCGCAAATCTATTATTATCAATAAACTTCTCTTCCATCATCCACCGATGAACAGAACCGATGAACAGTAATCGCGTTAACAGTAATCGATGAACAGTAATCGCGTGAACAGTAGCCGATGAACAATAATCACGTGAACAGTGACGGATGAACAGTAACTGATGAATAGTACCACCGTGAGCAGTGACGATGAACAGTACTGTAATCAGTACCGCCGAAATCAATAATCACTTTCCGCGAATCCAATGAACAAGAAATCTAACCTTTGCTCTGATACCATAAAAGATCTGAAAATTTCCTATATTATTTCTTGTTACTCTTTTTAACGTGATCTCTCAATTATATATATAAACCCTAAAACCATCCCCTATACATTATTTGTGAAGTGATTTTGCCACATGTCCTCTCAAGAATCAATTTCACAAAAAAATGATGACATGTCTACTAGAATTGATGACATGGCATATAGAATTGATGACATGGCATATGATTAAATATGACATGGACAATTGCATTTAATGTTAATATATATATTTTTTAAAAACTTTATAGAATATGATAACAACTCATATATTACATTTAATGTCGATTTATTTTTTTGGAAATATTTTTAAAATATGGTAATAACTAATAAATCATCATTAAAATAAATATATATACCAATATGGCATTAAAAAATTCGAAAATATCATTTAATTATATATTTTAAAACTATACAATTTTATTACAAAAATTGAAAAAATGTATAATTTTTTTGAATATTATTAAAATTTGATCGTAAAATTATTAATTTCTTATATGTTTGAAAATTTAATGAATATTGTCTAATTTTAATTTTTGATAAATAGAAATTTTCTACAAATTTATTTAATTAAAATAAATAGATAAAAAATTATCTAAGATTATAATTTTGAATATATACATGCATATTCTTAAATATAATTTAAAATAAACAAAATTAATTTTATATTACTTTTTATGTTTGATTAAACAAAAATTTGTATTAAAATAGTGATAAGAAAAAAACTCATAAATTATCATTAAGATAATAAATAATATAATAGTAGAAATATAAATATAATAATATTACAAATATTGAGATATTTTTAAGTGTATTTTTATAATTATATATTTTTATTAATATTTTTTTTCAAAATTTTATGAAGTTTTTTTAAAAGTTAAAATTTTCTAATCCCAATACCATTAGCTTTATTTATACCATCTATAAATTTTAGAAATATTATTTAGTTTTATATTTTGATAATTATATATCTAACCAAATTTTCTCTTAATAGTATAGAATCTGATTTAATATAATTTAACCAAAAGATAAAAGATACATATATATTATTAAATATAAATTTAAGAATTTTTTTTTAAGATAGACTTAAAAAAAAGTTTTAATCGCAAATATATTCCTTAAAATAAAAATGACCAAGATAGATTTAAATGTTTTATCAAAAATAAGTAAATATACACTTATATCCTTTGGGTTAACTAATCGTAAACCTTTTTATTTAAAGTTGAGGAGTGGAGTTTTGGGATAGGATTACAATTTTTTTCTAAAAAAAAAAATTGAAATTTTCAAAATAAAAAATGTTGTTTTGATCATTTTAGTTTTAAGATCTATTTTTGTGAAAAAACTAAAAAAGTTCTATTTGAGAGAACTGTCCTATATTTAAATAACTGTTTATTTTCTCTTAATTTTTACATACAATTAATGTAAAATTAATAATTTAATAAAATAATAAATTTAAAAATTAATTAAATTTTATTTTTAAAACTTTTATTTCTGCACATGGTGTAGGAAACCACCTAGTTAATAAATATTTACAATCTAGTCAATAACTATTGCATAATTATAATATAGCCCAATAATACATGATCTTTGTACATAATTTGGATCTATTTCAATTCAGCCAAGAATCGACATCGATCTCCATGCGTTGCATTTGCCATGGGATATGTAATGTTCATTGAATCTTTATATTCAACTTCTTGTATGAGATATTGACGATCTTGCCATATTTTTCTTTTAAAATTTTACGCGGAAATGTTATTACATGAACCTCATAATAATTGAAATCTGTAATTCTCTATCGATGAAAATTCTCAATATTGTTCGCAAAAAAAAAAAAAATGCAGATCCTGAACACATAAGTTTTATTTCCATAATCCCAAAATCTTCAAATTAATTAATATAACGTTTTCTACCAAAATGTATGAAGCAATGAAAGTGTTTAGAGGTTTTCTAGCATTAAGATTCGATTTAATGTATGAACCATGCTTAGTTCTTTTGTTGCATCATACTATGCCCTTTTGAAAGAAAAACAAGATGTTGGAATCTAATGACATAGTATTGTTTGATCGAGTTTCCTGGAAACTTCCACTTGTGGTTTTTGACCTGATATAAAACTCTTACATGTCATAATCTTGTTATATGTTATTCCTAAATCTTCATGTGTCCCACTATGTCTTTTTAACTAGTTTTCTATGTTTTAGAGGGACGGCTAAATATTAATATTCCAAAGAATTTTGTATTTGATGCTTTAGTCTGTATATCTATTTTATTAAAACAGAAATATCCTTAGAAAATACTCTTTTATTTTTCAGCTTATTTACAAAGGCATGCCACTGAAGTTATTAATTAACCTATTTTTAGGATTATTTGTCTTTTTATATTTAATTAATGCATTTCCAAAATTAAATTCTAACTAAAAATTATGGAAACAATAATCAATAAACCAACATTTTAGTATTCTTTGTCTTTTTCTATATATGTGTGTTTAGAAATAAATAAGTAATTAATAAACCTAGCTATAAATAGTTACTCAACATATTATTTTGAAAAATAATTTTTTATCTATTGGTAATAACTAAAATAAAAATCATAAAAATAATTCATATAGTTTATAGATTAATATAAAATATATGTTTAAAAGTAAAAAATATATAGAACCATATATTTTAAATAATATATAAAATAATTTTACTATACATTATCATAAAATTTTGATTCCTAAAATATAAAAATACATTTTACGAATATACGAATCATATTCTAAAAATAGGAATAATAGAATTGATGGTTTACAAGATAAAATAAAATTAATTCTATAAAATATTAAACTATTGTGTTTAAAATATCATATTAAGTAATTATTTAAACGAGTAAATTTTAAAATATATATATTATCAATTATACAATAAATATGTATCTATAAAAAGTAAAAATAATACTGTGGTATACTTCTTTGATGTTTAGTTTGTTTATATGACATAAATAAATTTTTAACAGCCACCAAAAATAATTCAATGTAGTAAGACTAATTAACTTTATAAAATGCATCATAAAAAAACAAAAAAAAAAATTGAAAAGAAAAATAAACCCGCACGGTGGTGTCTAGTACATGTTAAAGACAAAGTCAGGCAATGACTTGTTCCAATGTAGAAGTAAACTACAAAATCACGTCTTAATATCTCTAGTGATGATTATTGTACAAGCTTGTTCAACTCTTATTTTCCTCACTATTTCTCTGTTGAGGAAAAAATCACATTTGTTGCTTATAGAAAACGTATTAGTTGTGTCTTTGGCAGGATATAAATTAAACGTATAATAAGAAAAATGGGTACATGTATGTCAACACATTCAAAAAGCATTAGGCCATGGAGGAGGAAAGGCCGTCGCAGATTTTCCAAACACATTTCTAAAGTCTCTGATGCCATCTCTCATCCAAAGATTAGACGGGCAAGTGATGTCGGAATCGAAGCCGCTTTCGGTGAGTATCATTAGGGAGCGTTTTGAAAATCAACTTTTTGTTAATATAGAAAATATAAATGAAAATGTTGATTTGTTTATTTATTTATTTCTGGTTGCAGATGTTTATCAAAACGATGCTTGGTATGATTCGATAAGTATGTTTTCTGACTCGGATGATGAATTTATCAGCCTACATGAAGGTAAGTTTCATACATATACGAAAATATTTGGTTGTTTCTGTTTTTTTTTTCTATTGGGCATTACGAATGACGAGATCGCGTGCCCCAACTAAATTTTGATTTCCTTAAATAATCACTTTCAAACCTTGATTTATCAAGTAAGCTGACTAACGAAGTTAAAAATTCTCCACGATCCACTACGGAGTATGGAGAATTGATAGAATCTTAATTTTGTTTACCAGCTGATAATATTTGGTCAGAGAATGGTGAAGTCGTTCAGTTTGAGGCTTCTTCATGCATTGTTGATGCCAAAGGAAATTATGAAGAATACCATGAGAGTTATTTGAAGATTGATAGCTGTTGTAAAACCGAAAAGTTTATGAGCAAAGGTTCATACAAAGATCTTACTGGTTTGTCGGTTATCACTGGGAACAACAAGAAGAAACTATCGGATCATACTGTTGGAAGCTTCAAAAATTTGAAGGAACAGAAACGCAACTCTCAAGAGAAAGCATTGAAACCTAACTTGAGCCGGTTGATACCAACGGTTAGTTTCAACGACAAGACTTTACACTCTCCTACATCTCAGAAAAGAAAGTCTGCAGTTTACCGGCTTTCATTCAAGAGGACATCATGCGATGGTGAGGACGTCTTCGAGCATAGTAAGTTTTCTCAAAGTCTTGCAAAATATGTACATATTGTGCAGAGGCGGATATGAGATTTAGGAGACATAAACAATTTTAGGTTAATTTTAATTTAAAAAAAAAAACTTTTTTTGACAGTTTAGGGGTGGCTTATGTACGACAACAGTTCTTTATAATTTTGGGGTCAGGGCAAATGTTTTATTAGGTTGTACTTCAAACCGGCACTGATATTGTGTATGAGCACTTAGTTTTAATATTTACCTGTTTTTATATAAAAGGGTCGTCCAAGAGCTTCTTATACCGTCCAAAAGCTGGATTCACGGTTCCTTGTTTAGCCAAAGAGAAGCAACAATCCTCAGGAACTTGGTGTGAGATACCACCTTCAAATTTTAAACTTCGTGGCGAAACATATTTCAAGTACGCTTCCGCTTCTTTATATTTTTAAATCTGCCTTTCAAATGATTAAACATGGACTTGTAAACTCTTGAGACTGTTAATGGATCTGCAGAGATAAACGGAAGACACCAGCTCCAAACCAATGTCCATACACTCCTATTGGTGTTGACCTGTTTGTGTGTCCAAAGAAGATTGATCATATCGCTCAATACATTGAACTTCCCAACGTCAAAGTCGAGTCCAAGCTCCCTGCTCTTTTGATTGTCAACATTCAGGTAATAACCGCACGCTAAAAGAACCTAGAAATGTGTTTTTTCGTTAATAATCTACTATATCTGGCTTTTGTAGTTGCCAACTTATCCAGCCGCAATGTTTCTCGGTGATACTAATGGAGAAGGCATGAGCATTGTCCTTTACTTCAAATTACGTGAAGATTACGAGAACGAAATCTCTCAGCAATACCAAGACAGCATCAAGGTTAACCATTAAGAACGAAAGAACATCCATTTTCTTTTAGTTTCTTGTGGCTTACGTAAACTTTGTTAACAGAAACTAGTGGAAGATGAGATGGAGAAAGTTAAAGGGTTTGCAAAAGACAACATT